GGAAAGAAATGCAAGAAAAGAAAGAGGGAAAAAGGATGGGAAAGAGAATGTTTACCCAGTCCCCGACCGAGTTACATTTTCTCGCAATTCACATTAGCGGATCTGGGGGAGAAGGGTCATGGGTCCTGACCCCTCCCTTGGGCAACAAAAAAAAGAGAAAAGAATGCTAAACCTATCTTTTTAGGACCCGTGAGCTGATTTTTTTTTTTTTTATATGTTACAATACGAAAATTAGAATTTTGAAAAACATAAGTCATTAAAATTTTTCCCGAGGGAGAACCACCGGACCACCCTTTCTTTTTGGGATTTATCGATTCCTGGAAAAAAAATAGGCTACGCATGCAACACCTCATTTATTTATGTATGTATACACATAAAATAAAAAATGAGAAAAATTTACCCGACCGTTTTCAAGAGGGAAAAACCTTGAATTTTGAAGAACTTAAAAAGTCATTTCAAAGACATTTCAGAAGTCAGGAAAGCTAATTTCCCACATTCTAGAAATCGACATTTTCCCGGGGGAACTCGGACCTCCTTTTCCTTTGGGGTTTATTGATTCATTTAATCATTTTCAAGAGGGGGAAAACCTTGAAATTTGAAGAAATTGAAAATAATTAAAAGACACCTCAAAGCCGGAAAAGCTCATTTCCCGCCTTATTATATATTATTATTATTAATAATATTAATTATTATTATTATTATTATTATTATTATTCTTATAGGAATCCAAATTTTCCCGGGGGAGAACCACTTTTCTTTTTCGGATTTATCGATTCATGAAAAAAAAAAATCGTATGCAACTACACAATTTTTTTTATACACACATAAGACCTTGGCCTATTTACTGTAATAGCAAGTGGATAAATTTACCTGACCGTTTTCAAGAAAGGAAACCTTGAATTTTGAAAAACTTAAATTAAAATCGCTAAAAGATACTTCAGAAGTCGGGAAAGCTCATTTCCCACAATTTAGAAATCAACATTTTCCCGGGAAGAACCCGAACCTCCCTTTTCTCTTTGGGTTCATTGATTCATTATAATAATTTTCAAGAGGGAAAAACCTTGAATTTTGAAGAACTTAAAAGTAATTAAAACCAACCTCAGAAGTTGGGAAACTTATTTCCCGATTATAGGAATCCAAATTTTCCCGGGGGAGAACCCCTGGACCACTTTTCTTTTCGGATTTATCAATTTATGAAAAAAAAAAAAAATTCGTATGCAACTACAAAATTTTTGTAAATACACACATAAGACCTATTTACTGTAATAGTAAGGGGAAAATTTTACCCGGACCCCCTTTTTTGGGATTTATGGTTTCATGGAAAAAAAATCGTATGCAACCACACAATTTAATTATGTATGTAAACACAGATAAGGCCTATCTACTGTAATAACAATGGGAAAAATTTACCTGACCGTTTTGAAGAGGGGAAAACCTTGAATTTTAATTATTTTGAACTTAAATTAAATTTTTTCAAGAAGTTTTGAAGAACTTAATTTAAAGTTTTTATTATTATTATTATTATTATTATTATTATTATTATTATTATTATTATTATTATTATTATTATTATTATTATTATCTAGGTTCACTATGAGACAAGGCTTGCCTTCAAATTGTGATCCTAATAATGGCCTTTATTATTTTTGTTTTCCTTTCTCTAGGGTTTGGAAGATTGTAGTTAATAAGCATTTAGTAGGTGAAGAAAATGTAAATTGTCATGTATACTGACACAAATTCATGCAGTCAGTGTAGGATTTCGAATAACTTGTGACACATCCACCCATTAACATGTTCACAAAGTGTCGGCAAATTGTCTATTAATTTGACTGCAAATTGACTGTCGGAGAAACGTCCTATCGCCAAACTGACATTTTCGGCGAAATGTAGTGCCGGCAAAATCACGTGTCGGCGAATGGTATTTCGATCAATATTCTGTCGTACAATCAGGATAGTTACTGACATTAGTCACTTAATGTGCAGTACTCAAATGTACATGGCACAATATAATTTGTTATTACAAAATCTCATAAATAATAATTGGGTAATAAATATCATGTCGATTAAATTGGCAATTGTCGAAAAAACTCCTCAGACATCGACAACGAAATTGACTTCAGAGGTGGGTGGGGGTGGGAATTGAAAAGAAGACTTTTTACATCAACTCAAGATTGTAGACAAGGATTGCCTTAAGGTTTCCAAGGAATTTTCCCCCGATCGAAGCAATCACACTGCAGGGCGGCCTGGAGGAGTTTTTTGGGTGGTTTTTTTTTTGGAGGGGGGCCTGAAGAAGTAACGTTATTATGTCCTATAAATCTGCAGGCCTACAGATAACATTGTTCATATTATAGATTAATCTGCAGTCACCGGAGACGATAAATTTCCAACAAATTTCATATCATATTTAAAATCAACGGCTGGATGTGCTGGCAAATATATAATGCAATGCATGCTATAGCATTTTGTGATAATTAGGAACGATTTTGTGAAATAATAGATTTTAAAAAGTGGACCTTTTGGAATTGGGGGTGTGGTGGGTGCGTCCGCACCCTCTGCACCCCCCTGCCTACGGGCCTGATCACACTTCAACACAAGTGATCCGACATTCACACATAAATTCGGCTTTCACGTGCCCAGACGTTCATTCGGCGCATTATAGTAGAGATCAGTGAGTCCGTGCAATACCATGCTGATTAAATTTGTTCAAATTATTCCCCTTCCACACAAAGTTCTATTGAAGTCTGAAATATCCCATAATGTCGGAGCACGTGGTGGCCTCACCGTGACCCAACGAATACCCAGGCCCCAGCACCACTGGCTAGTCTCTGAATCGACAATAATGACTTTCTCAGTCCGCCACTGATAACGAAAAAAAGTTTGATTGACAAGATAAATACTGTGATATCTCTATCTTATATTTTCTTTCAGTTGTGATGGTACATTCAATGGCGACACATGGGATTATAGCATGGGATGGTGTTATCACACCGGAGCTCAACTCTTTTTGGGCGATTTTAACGGTGATGGTCGTACTGATTTGCTGTGCCACGATACCACTGGCTACAAGTGGGTGGCGTTGGCTAGTACTAGTGGTACCTTCTCGAGTACATCTTGGGAAGCTGGTTTGGGATGGTGTTGGCACAGTGGTGCTCAATTGTTCATCGATGATTTCAACGCAGATAATCGGAGTGACATGTTGTGCCATGATGGTTCCGGGTACAAGTGGATTTCCTATGCCAATCAGGATGGAAGTTTTCCGGGGACAAGTTGGGAACGAGCGATGGGTTGGTGTATCCATAGTGGTTCCCAGCTATTCACCGGTGATTTCAACGGAGACAGAAGGGCTGATTTGCTCTGCCATGACTCAACCGGATACAAATGGGTGGCGTTAGCATCCTCGAGTGGCACATTTACTAGCACGTCGTGGGAGAGTGCTCTTGGTTGGTGCTACCATAATACCGCAAAACTTTATATCGCCGACTTTAACAAAGATAAACGCGCCGACATGCTCTGCAGTGATGGTAATGGTTATAAATGGGTAGCATTTTCTACACCTGCCGGTGCATTTACAGGCACAAGCTGGGAGAAGAATATGGGCTGGTGTACAACCGGTTCTCAGCTGTTGGTCGCTGATGTGAATGGTGATGGTGGTTATGATTTGTTGTGTCACAGGCCGTCCGATGGATACAAGTGGGTTGCCTTAAATGCATATCAATAAGATTGGAACATTTTTTAGTTACGGATTTTTGTTGTTTCTAAAATTGTTATTGATATCTAGTGTATTTTTGTCTTTACTTAGTTTTGGAAAGCACTGTTACATTGCACCAGCCAGGCCCCTATCCGGGGGTGGGGGGTGCGTTGGGTGCGTACGCATCCCCCCCCCCCTAAATCGAAAAACGTGCACTAATTATAACCAAAAAAAATGTGACCTTGTTCCCAGAATCATTATAGAATGAATCACATGACAGTATAGTATTAAGATTGTATGAATGTACAAATGAGTTACAATAAGAATACTAGAGGGCTGACTCCACACGCGCAATCTTTTGTACTGCCAGCAACATAACACAACGCGTTATATGCACGTATTTTTCATTTGGGAAACAATTTGCTTGTTTCTCCATGTCCTCCACTGGTAATTTTTTGATAGGCCCTCGCTGTGTTCACAGACATATAGAGATTAACATGATAAAATGCCTTCAAATTAGTATACTAGGACGTAAGAAAGAAAATTTTTCCGGGGCCTTCGGGCCCTGCACCCCGACCGGGGGCCCTGGGCGGCCCCCTGGCCCCAGCCTGGTTGCTCACTGCGCTCGCAAAACGCACCCCCCCCCCCATTCAAAAAGCTGGATACCGGCCTGCTAGCAAACACTGATAGTAATTGTTAGTTTACTATTATTATTATCGTCATCATCACCATCATCATCAGCACATTCACTAACATCATCATCATCATCATCGTCGTTATTATTATTACTAGCATTATGATTATTGTTGCTGTTAGGCCCTATAAATAATGTAGTTTATCACCCTAAAAACTTCAAAAATATTTTTTCTCAATACCATAGAAGGCATGCGCAGGAGGGTTATTGGCCTTATTAATATTATTGTTATTATTCTACTAACCAATTGGTTGGCCTCTTTAAGAGGGATACTGAAAAAATTGCTGTTGCTAATGAACTATTGGACCGGACTACTCTCATGAAACAATGTTGAATATGATAATTAATAGAATTGTCTAATGATATCCAGAAAGTTGCCGAATATAGCAATCAGCTATACATTTTATGCCAACATTTCATTCAACAATAAATCGACCATTATTCTGCCCCACCATGACAAAAGGAAGCAATTGAATTTGAATTGTTTTGAGTAATTAGGAATAAACGTTTGTATTTACATCATCTTCTTTAACTATGCATAACCTCTTTTCTGAGTATAATGTATTTACTGTTAGTAAATAATAAATTATTTTTACTTGCAAATTCAGTTTGCTAAATCGTGTTGTTATTATAAAAATGACATAATTATTGTTCTAAATATTTTTATTACTGATACGATTCCTGAGGCGGATTGCTATAAAACAGGTAGTCTTAAACAGGTTTATCACATAGACCGTAATGCGATAGTCTACAGTGCGCCGTTTGGGACATTCGCTATTTTGTCGATAAAATACCATTTTGTATCGACAAAATGCTATTTTGTCGACAAACTGTATTCTGTTACCATAAGATTACCATGATTTTGTAAGACAAAATGATATTTATGTAAGGCAGAATTTATATTGTCACCACAAAATTCTATTCTGCATGCGTATACAAAAAGACGTTTGTAGAAGACAGAATACATTTTTTCGACAGAAGCACCTTTTGTGTGAGACAGAACGAGGTTATATGCCATTGGCCCTAATACAAAACATTTATTGTCACATAATACACTTCTTTCTTTTTAAAGTAGACTGTCGTTAGCGTCACCCAGGGGGCACCACTAGGAGGTGAATGTTGGACTTAACCCCTCATTTTGTCGACAAAATAGCATTTTGTCCCAACAAAATACTGTCTTAGCAACACGCTAATTTGTCGACAAAATAGCGAATGTCCCAAACAGCGCCCCGATATTATAGTCAACCCTGTAAAGACAATTGCTTTATAAAACAGCCTTAGCTAAGATCGCGTCGAGTATTGAAAGCTAGCAATTATTATTATTATTTTATATGATTTATATAGCACACATGCCCAGAAGACTGCTCAAGGAACTTCTCCTCCCCTCCTCTCCCCTTTGCCTTATGTGTACCAGTGTACGAAGAGAAGTACAACTAGCAGCTACGCAATTTAAAGATAAATTTGTTTTTTGATTGTTTTCTTTAGCATTTCAGACGGTTCTTCAATTAACTGATAATAATACTGATATAATGATGATATTGATGAGAGTTATGATAAATGTGATGATGAATAAAACATTATATATAGGGCTAAGGTGATGATGATGATAATGGTGATAATGATGATGATGATGTGGATGATGATGAGGATTAAGATAATTTTGACGAAAACGACGACAAAGACGACGATCATAATGGAGGTAGGTGGGGAAACGAGGTGTTGTGATTTTCAGACTTTTTCATTTAATACAAAAAGTATTACAGATTACTAACATCATAAAGATGTACTATCAAAATTTCAAATTGAAATTTGAAAAGCTCATTTAAAAGAATCAAATAAAGTATCAGTTTCCACCAAAAAAAAAACAGATCGAAAAAAATGTTTTCACCGATTTACAAACATATTACTACAAACTAATTTAGTTGATTACCAGCCAATTGATTAAGGGAATCAATTTCATTAACTATTAGTTATACATTTTGATAAATAATACTGAGTGTAAATTATATAGGGAAGGTCTTAAAAAGCTCTTTATGTTTCTTTATGTAGCTAACCCTTTCATCGGACACCACGGACCGTCTTGGTTAAAATCGTTTACTGATGCGTTCTTCCCTTTTTACCGACGTTACATTGACGATGTTTTTTTGTTTCATTACGATGCTAACAGTTTTTTTTTCTGATTGTTTAAATACACAACACGCATCAATAACTCTGATCATAACTCAAAAATAACCTCAGTCTATCATAAAATCAACATATGCGCTCGCGTGCTACGAATCCATACCTTTACGTCACACACATATATAGGCCTATTTCGACTTTGGAATTCTACATACCCTGATTGATCGTAAATTTCAGTAGTCAATAAAATAATACATAATTATATGAACAAAAAGCTATCACCCCTTTTTTTGGATTTTTTTTAAAACGCAACCGTCTTATTTCAAATTACCATACACCATTATCCAACTATTTCCAACAAAAAAATCAATTGGTAAACAAAAATTATTGATCAAACATTGACAATAGTATTATATCATGAAAAGATTGTTTATATGTGTAAATATCATGGCCGGCGGAACCCACTTTTTAGTAAAAAAAAATTAATGTCTGGAGATTTTTGTATTTCATTTCATTTCATTTATTTCGCCAAATAGATATAAATATGTAAAATATACAAATATAAAATTTCAAAAATAGTACGGTAATTGTTGTCATGTGGCAGGATTGCCCAAAAGTAGAAGATCTACTGTCGAGGGGCTCTCCTCATGACAACATCGGAAAGAAGTGCAAGAAAAGAAAGAGGGAAAAAGGATGGGAAAGAGAAAAGGTACTCAGTACCGGACCGAGTTACATTTTCTCGCAATTCACATTAGCGGATCTGGGGGAAAGGGGTCATGGGTCCTGACCCCTCCCTTGGGCAACAAAAAAAAAAAGAATTCTAAACCTATCTTTTTAGGACCCGTGAGCTTTTTTTTTTTTTTTTTTTATATGTTACAATAAGAAAATTAGAATTTTGAAAAACATAAGTCATTAAAATTTTTCCCGGGGGAGAACCACCGGACCACCCTTTCTTTTTGGGATTTATCGATTCATGGGAAAAAAAAATAGGCTACGCATGCAACACCTCATTATTTATGTATGTATACACACATAAAATAACAAATGAGAAAAATTTACCTGACTGTTTTCAAGAGGGAAAAACCTTGAATTTTGAAGAACTTAAAAAATCATTTAATAGACATTTTAGAAGTCAGGAAAGCTCGTTTCCCACATTCTAGAAATCGACATTTTCCCTGGGGAACTCGGACCTCCTTTTCCTTTGGGGTTCATGTATTCATTGAATCATTTTCAAGAGGGGGAAAACCTTGAAATTTGAAGAAATTAAAAGTAATTAAAAGACACCTCAAAGCCGGGAAAGCTCACTTCCCGCCTTATAGGAATCCAAATTTTCCCGGGGGAGAACCACTTTTCTTTTTCGGATTTATCGATTCATGAAAAAAAAAATCGTATGCAACTACACAATTTTTTTTATACACACATAAGACCTAGGCCTATTTATTGTAATAGCAAGTGGATAAATTTACCTGACCGTTTTCAAGAAAGGAAACCTTGAATTTTGAAGAACTTAAATTAAAATCGCTAAAAAATACTTCAGAAGTCGGGAAAGCTCATTTCCCACAATTTAGAAATCAACATTTTCCCGGGAAGAACCCGAACCTCCCTTTTCTCTTTGGGTTCATTGATTCATTATAATAATTTTCAAGAGGGGAAAACCTTGAATTTTGAAGAACTTAAAAGTAATTAAAACCAACCTCAGAAGTTGGGGAAACTTATTTCCCGATTATAGGAATCCAAATTTTCCCGGGGGTGAACCCCTGGATTTATGAAAAAAAAAATTCGTATGCATCTACACAATTTTTTTTAATACACACATAAGGCCTATTTACTGTAATAGTAAGTGGGAAAATTTACCCGGACCCCCTTTTTTGGGATTTATGGATTCATGGAAAAAAAATCGTATGCAACTACACAATTTTTGTTATGTATGTAAACACAGATAAGGCCTATCTACTGTAATAACAATGGGAAAAATTTACCTGACCGTTTTGAAGAGGGGAAAACGTTGAATTTAAATTATTTTTAACTTTAATTAAATTTTTTCAAGAAGTTTTGAAGAACTTAAATTATAGTTTTTATTATTATTATTATTATTATTATTATTATTATTATTATTATTATTTTATTACCGGTATCTTATTAATATTATTATTATTATCATTATTATTATTATTATTATTATTATTATTATTATTATTATTATTATTATTATTATTATTATCTAGGTTTACTATGAGACAAGGCTTGCCTTCAAATTGTGATCCTAACAATGGCCTTTATTATTTTTGTTTTCCTTTCTCTAGGGTTTGGAAGATTGTAGTTAATAAGCATTTAGTATGTGA